AAAAAAAAAAAAGAGAGAAAGGCCTTCTAAATGATATACATAAAACATCGAAAAAAATACATTATTTTCAAGCATACTAAGAACACTTACAAATTTATGGTAAACCATAAAGCAAGTCTCAACCAATTTGAACAGATTCAAATCATAAAGAATATTCTCTGACCATAGTACTGTTAAGCTAGCTATCAGTAATGGAAAGAAAAGAAAATCCCCAAGTCCTTAGAATGTACCTAAAATTCATAAAGTTGCCTGAAAATTAATAAGCTAAGTATTTGTCTCAAGAAGTTTAAAAAGATTGCAAAGTAAATCTGAAGAAAGGAGGAAGGAAAGAATAAAGATAAGAGCAAAGTTAATACAATAAAAAATAAACATTCAGTAACGAGAACTAACAAAGCCAAACTTTGTTTGTTTGTTTGTTTTTAAGGCAAATAAAATGGACAGACCTCTGGTGCAGTTGATCAAGGGAAAAAGAGGAGGCACACATTATTAGTATCAGGGCTGAGAAAGAACTTGATTACAGATTATGTGGATGCTAAAACAATAAGAGGATATTATTAACAACTATACGCCAATAAATTTGAAAATTTGGAAAAAAACAGACAAATTCCTAGAAAAATAACAAAACAGATTCAAGAAGTAGAAAACCCGAATAGTCCCTGCCACCATTAAAGAATTTGAATTAAAAAGTCTGGCAGATGAATAAATGTAGCACAAACAGGCCGCCAGTGGATGGCTGACTAACCATTGCAAGCCAAACAAAAGTGTTCAGCTGTGAGACTCCGGGTCTGAGTGGCCACTGTCACCCACATCCACAAATCCAGCAGCAGCAGCTTTGACAGTAAAGGACAGTGAGGCTGCATGCTTGTTCAGACGTGCAGAGATGTGGTCCCTCTGTGAAGGCCAGAGGGTGACTGGGCAAATGCAGAAAATGTGAGTCTTTCCAGATAATAGACTCTCTTTAAGAACCAACAGTGAACAATAATAATCATTTTGTGATTATAAAGGTAAAGAAGCTTCCACCAGAATTTAAGGCGACTTTGCTGTAGAACCAAATTCCCTTTGGGCCAGGATTTGCCCCACCTAAAGTACTATAGGAACTCCTACTAAAGTAAGTCTAATTCTCCACATTAGAGCAAGATTGTGTACACTTCCCAAGGGGGCATTAATATAAACCAAATAGAAAGAATAACCTAGTGAAGATGCAGGGGGGTGGTAAAGATGAACAATCAAAACCCCAGAAAGATATTTTGCCAATGTTGACAAGCTGATTTGAAAATTTACATGAAAAAGGAAAGGAACTAGAATAATAAAAACAATTTGGAAAAAGAACAAAATTGGAGGATTCACATTACCTGGAAAAGGCAAAACTATAGGAACAGAGAAGATATTGGTTTCCAGGAGTTAAAGACAGGGGAAGGGTTTGGCTACAAAATGGAATCATTAGGGTGATGGTACCTTTCTGTATCTTGATTTTGGTGGTGATTATGCAACTCTATGTACATCAAAAGGACTGCATTTTACTGTATGTAATTTTTAAAATTATTTTTTAAATGGTACACCAGATTTGAAAAACAATCAAATGGATTTTCTAGAAATAAGTTTATTACAATTAAAAACTCAGTAGTTAGTTTAACAGCAGATTACATCAGCTCAAGATAAATCACAAGAAAGTATACAGAATGGTAAAAAGATGGAAAATACAGAAGAGAGGACAAGAGGCATAGGGATAAGTGAAAGGGTATAAGATACACTTGAGAACAGTCTCAGGGGAAGAGAGAATAGCTGAGAATTTTCTGGAATTTAAAAAAAGTTGATCCAACCCACAGATTTAATGAATCCCAAGAAGGATAAATATAAAAGGAAATCTGTACAGAGTGAAAATATAGAAAATCAAAGAAAACAGGGGGAAAAAAATCTTAAAATAAATCTGAGAAAAAAAAAAAAGACATTACCTTCAAGGGAACAAAAACCTGATGACTGACTTCTCGACCACACAAGAGAAGCCACAAAACAGTGAAATAATGGCTTCAATTTTATTGAAAGAATAACTTTGAAAAAATAACTGCCCATCTCGAATGTATTCCTAGGAAAATATATATTTCAGGAACGAAGGAAAAATAAGGTCATTTTCAGACAAACAAGAACTGAGTTTGTCACCAGTTGATCCTCCCTAAAGTAGATTCTGAAGAAATCTGCTTCAGGCAGAAGGAAAATCATCCTAAATGAAAGGTTTGAAACAAAGAAGGAGCAGCGATCAAAGGAAATGAGAAAAAAGCAGATACATCTAAATGTACATGGAATAATATATTTTGGGTTTTTTAAAGAGCAGAACAAAAACAGGGCATAACAGTAGGATTAAGGTATTCTAAGTTCCCTGTTTTGTCCCATAATAGAACATGTAGTATAATTTCTAGGATAATCACTGAAATAGCAGAGATTAAAGGCAAAGCTTACAAACTAGAAATGGGAAGAAATGGAATAATTTTTTTAAAGTCAGTTAATCCAAAAGACAGCAAGAAAGGAGATTAAGAAAAAGCATGTTAGGTGGTGGACTTGTTTTTATTAACATATCAGTAATTACAGCAAGTGTGAGTAGACTAGTTACATTAATTTTTCCAGTTATAATAGAAGTTAAAGATCATCAAATTCTTACTCTCTTAAATATAAAGATTCAGAAAAGTTGAAAGTAAAAGGATAAAAAGACATGAACCTGGAAAACACTGGGCAGGAGGAAGCTGGCATAATTGTATTAATAGCAGTCAAAATAAAAATTAAGGCAAAAAGCATTACTAAAATTAAAGAGGACATTTCACAAAAGGTTCAGTTCCCCCAGAAAAATAATTAATGTACCTTTCTATGCACCAAAAACATGTCAAAATTTATACAGTAGAAATTGACAATTAAATAAAGGTAAAATCTGTCAGAGCAGGTTACTTTTAATACATCTCAGTAATTCATAGAAGAAATGTATTAAAAATTAAAGATATAGGGGCCAGCCGAGTAGCTCAGTTGGTTAAGAGTTGGCTTAAGAGCGTGAACTCTAAGCAACAGGGCAGCCAGTTCGATTCCCACATGGGCCAGTGACGCTGCGCCTGAGCTGAGCTGTCGCTGAGCTGCCAATAGGTGGCAGGATGGCTGAGCTGGTGTAACAACAAGATTGCTTGTTCGATGGTGGGCTATGCCCACTCGCAACTAAGACTGAACTTGGCATCTTGAGCTGAGCTGCTGCCCATATGGCTCAGTGGATAGAGTGTACACTCTTAACAACAAGGCTGCTGGTTTGACTCCCACATGGGATGGTGGCTACGCCCACCTGCAACTAAGATTGAACACAGCACCTTGAGCTTAGAGGCCACAAACTGCCGTCGGGAAGCCAGATGGCGACTTGGCGCCCTCTACAACGAAGATTGAAGAACAACAACTTGGCTGGTCCCCTTCCCCAATTCCACAACACTACTCCCCTCCCCCAATTCCCCAATAAAATCTTTAAAAAAAAANAAGCTAGCGAAGAAATCCTTATTTTTATAATTTGCATTTCACCAAAATATACTTACAATATATATGTTCCAGTTATTCCAGCAGTTATAACTGTTAGTAAAAGGGAAAAAAAAAAAAAAGGTTTGTTGCCATGCCAACTTTTAAGTTTTCTTTTAAACAACATTGGCTCTTTATCTGAGGATAAAACTCTTCAGAGGCATAATGACCCTCAAGAATGGGGAACTGACCATACTGACATGGGGTCACATGGGGTCATGCTTCAGCATCCCAGCGACGGCGTCCTGTCCCCCCCTCCTTCTTCTCACCAGTTTCCTCTCCAGTTTTTAAAGGCGTAGAAATTACACTGACCACTTGGTGGCACCAAATTACGGAAGAGAAAAGATTCAAGTTTTTTCTTTGAGGTATTTTTTGCTTTTGTGGTTTTTTTTCCCCGGTGCTAGCAGTGAGCAGGTGCCCCATTGTATTGTGAGGCACGGAGAGGAGAGGGACACAGATTTTTTTAAGCAGTGTGCCCTAAACTCTTGGGGAGCGAGACATTACAGGGATAACATTGCTAATTAGTAAATGTCTTCACTGGGCCAGCCCCAGGAAAACTGACCTTCACCCCACCCACCCCCGTCTCTTGACTGGAGCACACAGTTCTGGTGTCGGGGAGACAGGCCTGGGAGTGGCCCCTCCGGTCATGGAACAGGCCATGGAACAGTAAGGAGCATGGCAAGAGGGTCCAGCTGGGGTGAAATAGCCTGTCCATTTGTCTGTCTCCTCTCTATCACCAGAACCCATGGGAGGTGGTGGGGACAGTGTCCTTTTCATCTTTATATTCCCAGCAGCTAGCAGCAGTCTGGTCCTCCCTGACTGGTGAAAGTTTGCTGAATTGACGCTAGGAAAGGAAGCTTGGGCGTGGAGAGTGATGAGGTTCAGGAAGTACAAATGACGTTTTTTAAAGAGCAGTGTGGAGGACAGGCAAAGTCTTAAAGGCATGTCTTCAGCCTCTGCAAGAGTCTGTGTGGCTTCCAGATGCTGCAGCAACTTCTCTAACATCACCATGGGCAGAAGAGCCCCATCTGCCAAGACACGTTCATGCTGGCAAAGCCCGTAGGACCATGTGGGTTTGGAAAGTTGACACCCATTTATTGTGTTTGTGTGGTTATGCCTCTTAATCTATACCAATTCCCACCCCACCCCCTTTGTTTCATGTCATTGATCTGCTGGACAAGTAGGGTCATTTGCTGTGCAGAATATCCCCCCTTCTGGCTTTGCTCTCGCTTGGCACCATTGTGCTCACTCCTATTATGTTCTCTGCATTTCTTGTAAAGTGTTAAATGGATCTAGGTATTTAATTAGATTTAGGTTCAAGATGGTCCTGGATACTTACTGTCACCTCACATCACAAGGCACGCACTTTCTGGTTGTCCCACTTCTAGTGACTCTAAGACTGAACATTGGATTCAGAGGGTATCATTTTGATCCCTCCACCGACGGTTTTAACACCCATCACCTGGAGCCATCATTTAATTGCTCAGTGGTGGTTTTCATAATTCTGTCATTCATCTGCATACATCAGCTGGAATTCTTCTGTGAAGAAGACCTTTCCTTCACCAGTTCCTTGCTGGCTCTCAAATACAATTGGTATAGGAAAGACAGGACAGTGCTTGGAATAATGATGCTTTTATTGATCCACCTTCAGAATGATAACCTGGTGCCCTCTCAGCTTCTAATACTGGCCAGTGAGTTTTGTTTTTTTCCTCTCTTTTTTCTTGAGTATCATTGGGAATGCACAGATTTTTATATATTGGATTGCTTTAACCCAGGACAATCTTTATTCATTTTTATGCTCACATTGGCCCATCATATGCTATTGGGAATCACTTTGCATTAGCCCCTGGGTTGTTTGGACATGACCCCACTTGTCTCTGAAAGCGTCCTAGCTTTCTTATGAAAAATCTCAGGTTTATTTTGCATTGTTCCTGCCTTAGACCTGTAGTCCACCATTTATGCACAGAGTTCTAGTTCTCTTTAGTGTGAAATGGTTTTTAGAGACCACAGTCTGGCTGCCAGGGTTGGTGATTGGTAGTGAGTTGAATGTCATTGCTTCTAGACCTTTCCAGTACATATAGCTAGGAACAATGCTTTATTTTTTAGGAGAAATATAAATCATCAATTCACTCATATTCCCAGTTTAAATTTGTTAGGACAAAAATTTTACTTCTTTGTTTGAATTCACTTTTCTCTTATTCTGGAAATTTTGGTTCCTAATGATATTAATAAAATTATTTTCTTCATTGTACAATACACTTATAATAATTTTATTGTCCTCTTCCACACAGAGGTTGCATACTGTAAAGATTGTTCAGCACTGTTTTTTTAAAAATAAGTACTGCTACTCATAAAACTATCAAGTGCAATTTGTTATCATTGGGGTTTTTTCTTAAAACTTATCCTATTACAGATGTAGAGTTGAAAGTCACTTGGATGCTGAGTTAAAGTCACTGGAAATCACTTTTCTCTGTTTGGTTATGCCAACAATCTGATATAAAATCAGGCTTGTTTCTGGTTGTTTTCTAGTTTTAGAGATTGTTTTATTTCCCTTTTCATTTCACTTTTGTCTTTTAACTCTGTAAAACATTTACATAGTTTCAGAATTGTAAATGTATTAATAAGTCCCTGGGCACCAGTCTCCCTCCTTGTTTTACCCTTCCCCCAAAGGAAATCATTTTTTTCATTAGTTTGTTACTTATCCTTTTTATTTTTAAAAATATAAGCAAATACCTATGTTCACATGTGTGCATATATATTCTCACCCCCTGTCCCACACCCAGCTAACACACCATAAACACTGCACGTTTTTCTATTTTTTGCTTAGTATAGTCTGATGCTGCCCATACAAAGCTCACAGACATCCTCCTCACCCCATTGGTCAGCTGCCATCTGCACATAGCACATTCCATAGTTTACTCAGACACCTCCTCGGGAGACATTTGGGTTGCTTCCAGTCTTTTGCTTCCATAAATGTTGCTGTGTTGAATGGCCATGTGTTTTTGCCAGTGCGTCTTTGCAGAGTCCTTTTCATGCTGTCTCAACTCCCAGTTCCACCCAGAATGGAGGTGTTTGGGCAGTGATCATGGTTTCCAAAGGGTATGGCCATGGGCTGCCAATTGAAGGAGGGAAACCCAGGTGTGCCTCTGATCTTTGTGACAATAGCTGCCCTTGTGGGAGGGCCTGCCTGTTGCTTCCACTTGGCCGGATTCCCTCCCAGAAATGTGATGACACACCCTTCTGGGAGCTGTGGGTTCCCCACTTGCAAACTCACTGTTGCGGGCTAGAAAGAAGCGAGACAGAATCTCTAGCCAACAGTTAGATCCTAACAGTCCCTAATGCCTCACAGAAGACAGGATGCCTGGGGTGGGTGGGGGGTGGGGGCGTGGTACACAAGATTGCCAGTGTCTGCAGGGGCTGGCTTTCCTTCCTCCATCATCACCTCCTTCCACCTATTGTTCAGGCAGCCACTGCTAGGAAAATGTGATAGCTAACTCCCACATCCTCTTAGGACATTTCATGAAGGTCTTATGGGTGCAGTTCCAAATTGGAGCCTTCAGGTCAGGGGTGATGTGGAAGGGGCTAGGACGGTGATGACAGAAGGGCCCACCATCTACACCCTGGGACCTAGGCACACAGGTTGGGTTGCACGGATCAAATCAGGTAATGCAAAGAGGGCAAGCCTTTGCAGATGTGCACTTCTCATTTCAAGCCCAGCCACGGAAGTGTGCTTTGGACTGCCTTGTGAGGATGCCTCTGTCAGGCAGGCCCTCAACCTGCTGTGCAGACACAGCCTCCAGCCCACCGAGGGGCTGCATGTTTGCCCACGGGAATGACCTCGCCCTCCCGGGCAACCCCGCCAGCCAGCCAAGGCTCCCCTGTCTTGGACCTCACACCTTGTCCGACATTGGTTTTTCCGTTAATGAAAAGAATTCACACAACCTTCAGATCTGTTAGGAAAATTCCTGTCTCGACAATGCTCCTAATAATTGACTGTGGTATTTAACAGGGTAGAGATAAACTGAAGTCAGAACCAATTAAAAAATAAATGCTGCCGTGGGCTTGTCGTATGCTGGGCCATCGACCCACTGTGCCTTGCTGATCGTCCCGAAGGCTCCAGTTGAGAGGTGACGGTGATCAGAGTTTCACGGCGTCTCTTTCATCCTAGGGAGTCGAGGGGCTCGCTGGGCAGCCGGGCCCTCTCACACGACAGTATTTTCATTCCCGAGTCGTGCCAGGACCCGCCACGACCTGTGCGGGTATTCTCCCAAGAAAATGTATGTGACCGGATCAAGGCTTTGCAGGTAGGCTTTTCTTGGCAGTGTCACTTCGCATGTACGTCACACACAAATCGAGACGTTTTTAAATCGCTGATGCTTGGTGTGTTGGATATATTTTGAAGTGTAACTGCATGCACATCACAGCTCTCCCAAGACATGCCAAGTTAGTTTAGCCTGGACCTCGACCCATACTAAATCATAACCACTCATTGTCAAGATGACAGCAAGAGAGCTAGTGGCAGAGATTCTTTTGGTTCAGTCCCCTGCACCAGGCAGGGGCACTGAAACTATCTCCGGAATGAACAAATTGGGGCAGGAGGATTAGTTGATAAAAGTCACTGATAAAACAGGAGCAAATGTTCTCTATTCCAATCCAGTTAAAAATACAGTGTAATGTGAAAGTGGGCCCACCACCTCCAGGGGGCCTTCCTGCCAAGAGGGGAGATGATGCCGGCATGAGTTCTGAGGACGACGGTCTGCCCAGGAGCCCCCCTGAGATGTCCCTGCTGCATGACATTGGTCCCAGCACAACCATAAAGGCAAGTGCAGCCTGCATCCCCCACGTCTCCACCCATGTCCACCACACATGGCGGTTGGGGCCTTGGGCCCCCCCCCCCTTCTCCTGAGATTCTCTTAGTGGGTGTGGCTGGGCTTTATGTGGCCAGGGGGTTTCCAGATCATGTCACTGGAGCACACAGTTGGTATTTTTTTTCATTCTTTGAGCAGAAATTCAGGTCTTGTTAGGAGATAGTGTTTTGATAACATTCTCCAGGATGGTTACAGGTCTGATACCATCAACCCCATACCTTGTTTTTCCTGTCTGAGTGGATGACCAGACCAGCATCCCGTCTCAAAGAACAAAACACCCTTGTGTCTGTTCTCTGTTGTCATGACACTTGGCCAGAGGGAGAAGGGAGTGGTAAACGTATTTGACTTAATCTAGGCTCCCATATCTGAGTGGAGGATGATTAGAACTTGTTAGGTTAGGGGTAGGAATGTAAGGTATGGTGCTGGTAGACAGGGCTGCTGGGAAAGTTTGACAAGCAGGAGAGGTATGTATGACCTCCTCAGGGCAGGGAAGCTCATCCCGGGTACCACCCTCCCTCATGAGATGAGAATCCATGAGGAAGCACTGAGCTCCTTCTCTTGTATAAACCACAAAGCTCATGGTGCTGCCATTTTAAGCCCATGCAATGTATTTACATAAATGATCATTTTCCCCTTGTAGATGAGCTTGCTGAGGAATGGATAGAGTTGGAGTTATCCATGTTATGCTGACCCTTGGAAAACCAGTCAAGGCCAGGATCCATTGTTTACAGCCACACACATGCCCCATGTATCCTTGGAGCAGTCACTTCTGTCCTGGTCAAGGGCTGTTCACAGTGAAGCGTTGGGGCTTCATTGTACTCATTGTCTTGCAGATTCTGTGCTGCTGTGAAATGTAATCAGTAGTCACTTCAACCTTAGCATCCAGAACCCCACCCCCACCCCCTAGCCTGCCTGTAAAGGCATGGGAAAGAATATTTACCCAGTGTTCGTGCACTTGTGGGTTCCCTGAGTGTCCGTGATGATGGACAGGAAGGGCTGTGGTGTGGCCGAGTGTAAACACATCCCACAGTTGGGGGCTCACCCCGAGCTGGCTAGAGAAGTATTCTCTTCAGAATTCTGTCTACGGTCAGCCTGTCTCTGCTTGCTCCATGAGCAGTGTCTGAGGGCAGTGGCTACCCCACACCTGCTCTCCCACCTCGGGAAGGAAGAGAGGACAGGAGCATAGTTTGGCCCATTTCCTGGGTGTCAACCTTGCACCTCTCCACACCTTAAAATACTGGAGGGAAAGCTGACAGGCTTGTGGCTGCTTAAGGTATAATCACCAGGTGACAGGCAGACATCCCTTTGCACCCTCGGGTGTGCAGCTTCAGCGTCCCCAGCCTCAGGACCAGATGTGACTTTGTATGTTTTGGGGCTGCACTGTGGGAAAGATGTCTCTTTGAGCCATGGTTGGCCGACTGGTCCCCACTGCGTCCCGCAGCACACTCTGTTGCTCATAACACAGTGGTTCTCCATGTTTAGCTGGGACAGATAGTAGAAAGAACAGGTTGTTTCTAACTCCACTCACTAGGGAGTGAGCCTAGCTCCAAACCCGCAAAGCGCTATGATGCACAAATTCCACAGTTAGCTGAGCAGGAGCCACTCACACCGAGCAGGGCTGACCTGAGCCTTCTCGGCATCCCTCCCATGGTTGGTCTGTTATTTTTTAAGAAAATATTTGGAGATTTTATCAACTATTGGACAATGTGAACAGTCCACTAGCTTCATAGACAACCCAAATTTGAGCCTGTAAGACTTAAACAAAATAGATAATCTCAATCCTCATGGTTTTGAAGACACAATGATGGTATTTTGCGCCCTGAAAGTTTTGGAGGGCACAGTGGGCAGAGAGAGGGAGGAAACAATGAACCCTTTAGAACATGTTTATATAGCACATGGTATTTGATATAATGGTGCCTTAAATCCCAAAAGGATGGGATTGGGGACTGTTTAATTTTTTCCTGCTGTGCCACTGCCCACAGGCTCACATTCTGGACAGAGAAACGTAATGAGGCTTATTGTGAAAAAGGGTGTTCAGAGACAATATTTGATGTCCCTGCCAAGGTGATATTTTCTGGCAGAATGAGTTTTTCAGGAAATACATGGAATTACTTTAAAATTTTTTATTACCACATGAGGTAACAACTAAGGAAACTCAAATTGGTGATTTTTAAGGTAAAATTACATCTAACTAGTCATATTCTAGGTTTCCTGCCATTAAGTAGGGAATGCTGGGTAGAGGGTGACAAAATGGCACGTCTGTTTGCTCTCAGAGATTAGGGCAAGTCAGCAGAGGAGACACAGTTCTAGTGGCCAAAGGAGGAAAGGCACCACCACCACTATGGAGCGAGGCCGTGGGCAGATTCCATCACCTGCAGGAATCTGTCCTCAGAGGGTTTGGGAGAGAATCAGATGAAATCAGATAGGTCAGCACCTGTGAAAAGCCAGTCGGCCTTTTGTCGCAGAACAGCCCCGCCCGCCCGCTTCATGTCTGCGGCTGCACCCACGTGCACCCCCCTCAGCCCGCCCCTCAGTGGCTGAGCCCCTCTTTTTGAGGATAAACACTGTAAAGGAGCCGTCACCCAGGGTCACCCTCCAAAAAGTCTCTGAACCCCAGGCCATTTCCTGAGGGCCCTTTGAGCCCCAACACAGGGTTACTGTTAGGCTTTTAAATCACCCATTTCCAGAATCATCCAGAAGCACAGATTTCAGGAAAAATTGGGTGACTGGGAGTGAGCAGTGCTAGTGTGAATGCCCAGATGCTACCAGGCCACAGATAAGCATGCCAGTCAGCTTTCCTGCCCCCTCTTCCCCGTGGGCCCCACGCCACCCCTGGTAATTGCTTCACTGATGGGAGGTGGAGCTCATGATTCTCCTGGTCCTGAAGGGCTCAGTCTTTCCAGGCCCCAAGACCTCCAACCACAGCGGAGATTGGGCAGTGAGAGCTCAGTTCCCCGGCGGGCCACACGAGGACCATCAGCTCAGGCAGAGCAAACGCAGGGCACCCAGGTGAAGGAGGCAGGGCAGAATGCCTGTCCTTTGGGTTCATACAGGGGTGACCAGAAGCCCATTTGTCACAGACAAAGTAATCCTTCTCATGTGTGGGCTCACTGCATTTGCAAAGCAGCTCATCTTGTCTGTTCTCTTGAATCCCAGACAGTCAGAAAAACAAAAGCAAAGTTTCACCAAGTGTGTATAGACACCGTTTTCCTGGGCAAGGGGGAAAGGAATGTATGGTTTTGAAAGGGTCCCATCCTGCTTGTGACCCTTAAGGAGAGCTGCCTGGGAAAAGTGTCACCAGTCCAATCTAAGGCGACCTCCTGAGTCATCAGCTACAATTGGGGAAGCCAAAGCCACAGGTACAGAGGAAGTCATGACTAGGAATTCTGTGACTTTTTAAAAACATTATTTGCCTTCCTTTATTCCCGTGAGAGCCTGTGTAGCTAAAACAAGGGAACTATAATAGATTGTGTCCACTTATAACCCCTTTCCCTCGTTTTAGTAAATGTCTTCTCCCAGTTGACAGGAATAAACTTTAAAAAGTTATTATAATTTATTTTTATTAAATTTATTGGGGTGACGTTGGTTAGTGAAATTATTATAGGTTTCAAGTGTACAATTCTATAATGCATCATATGTATATTGCATTGTGTGCTCACCACCCAGTCAGTTCTCCTTCCATCACCATATATTTGACCCACTTTATCCCCATTTACCCCCCCATCCCCCATACCCTCTGGTAATCACTAAACTGTTATCTGTGTCTATGAGTTTTTGTTTATTTGTTTGTTTTCAGTTTTATATCTCATATATGAGTGAAATCATATGGTTCTTGACTTTTTCTGTCTGACTTATTCCACTTAGCATGATATTCTCAAGATTCATACATGTCACAAATGACATTATTTCATCTTTTCTTATGGCTGAGTAATATTCCATTGTATGTAAATATACCACATCTTCTTTATTCAGTCATCTATTGAAGGACATTTTAGTTGTTCAATGTCTTGGCCACTGTAAATAATGCTGCAATGAACATAGGTCTATATATATATCTTTACGGATAAATGTTTTCAGGGATTTTGGGTAGATACCCAGGAGAGGGATTGTTGGGTCACATGGTAGTTGTAGTCTTAATTTTTTGAGGAACCTCTGTACTGTTTTCCATAGCAGCTGCACCAATTTACATTCCCAGCCAGCAGTGTATGAGGGTTCCTTTTTCTTCACAGCCTCTCCAACACTTGTTATTACTTGTCTTGTTGATAATAGCCATTCTGACAGATGTGAGGTGATATCTCATTGTGGTTTTGATTTGCATTTCCTTAATAGCTAGTGAAGTTGAGCATTTTTTCATATATCTTTTGGCCGTTTGTATGTCTTCTTGGGAAGAAGTGTCTGTTCAGGTCCTCTGCCCATTTTTAAAATTGGATTGTTTATTTTTTTGTTGTTGAGTTGTATGAGTTCTTTATATATTTTGGATATCAGCCCCTTATCGGAGGTGTTGTTTGCAAATATATTCTTCCATTCGGTTGGTTGCTTCCTTGTTTTGTTGATGGTTTCTTTTGCTGTGCAGAAGCTTTTTAGTTTGATATAATCCCCATCAAAATCCCTATGGCATTTTTTAAAGAAATAGAATGAAAAAAATCATCAGACTTGTATGGAATCACAAAAGACCCCGAATAGCCAAAACACTCCTAAGAAAAAAAAACAAAGCTGAGGTATCACACTTCCTGACTTCCATTTATACTAAAAAGCGACAATAATCAAAACAACATGGTATTGGCAGAAAAACAGACACATCGACCAATGGAATAGAATTGAGAACCCAGAAAGAAACTCACATATATGTAGGCAGATAATTTTTGAAAAAGGAGCCAAAAATATGCAATGGAGAAAAGAGAGCCTTTGCAATAAATGGTGCTGGGAAAATTGGAAAGTCACATGCAAAAGAATGAAACTAGACTGCTATCTGTCACCATGCACCAAAATGAACTCAAAATGGATCAAAGACCTAAATATAAGACCTGAAACAATAAACCACATAGAAGAAAGCATAGGTAGTAAACTTATGGACCTTGGGTTCAGAGAGGATTTTATGAATTTGACCTCAAAGGCAAGGGGAGTAAAAGCAAAAATAAATGAATGGAACTGTATCAAACTGAAGAAATAAGCTTTATACTTGCAATAAAACATATAAGGGACCTTTATGTGAACAAGGAGACTACATTCCTCTCTGAGGCAGTGCCCTTGCAGGGGACAGTCCCTGCATCAGAGCCAGTCTCTAGCAGTGTCACCCTTCTGGCGCCCCCTCCTCTAGTTTAGCAGAGGCTACTGGGCACCTGCTGTGTGTGAGGCTCCAGGGCTATGGAAAAGCAGGTGAGTGAGATGCCACCACACCCCTAGGAGCCTGCTTGTTCCTGTATCTAGTTCACTGCCTTCTTCCTGGGGAGACTGTTTTCATGAGGGCTTACTACTAAACCATTGTGAGATGCATGAAATTATGGTCTTAAGTTAAAATGTAAACTTGACACCACATCACACCCATTAGGATGGCTACATTCAAAAAATAATAATAACAAGTGTTGGTGAGGATGTGGAGAAATTGGAGCCCCTGTGCACTGTTGGTGGGAATGAAAAATGGCATAGCCACTATGGAAATCAGTATGGCAGTTCCTCAAAAAATTAAAACTAGAACTACCATATGACACAACAATTCTACTTCTGGATATTTATCCAAAAGAATTGTAAGAAAGTCCCCAAAAGATATTTGTACACCCATGTTCATAGCAGCTTTATTCACAATAGCTAAAATTTGGAAGCAACCCAAATGTCCAGCAGATAAAAGGTTAAGCAAAATGTTATCTGTGTACACAATGAAATATCATTCAGCCTTAAAAAGGAAGGAAATCCTGTGACATGCTACAACATGGATGAACCTTGAGGACATCATGCTAAATGAAATAAGCCAGACACAAAAGGACAAATACTACAGGATTCCATTTATACAAGGTGTGATCAAACAATACGGTGAATGTTTAAATAAAAGAAATTATTACAGCAAAAGACACATTGCAATTGATCCCCCTCAAAATATCCCCCCTAGCTTTGAACACACTTATCCCATTGTTTTTGCCACTTTCTGAAGCAGTTTTGGAAGTCCTCATTCATGTCTGTAGTTACGCAGTCATGGCTGCCTCGATGTCCTGAATCGATTCAAAATGTTTACCTTTCATGGTCATTTTGACTTTGGGGAAGAGCCACAAATTTCATGGTGTCAGATTCAGTGAATAAGGTGGATGAGGACACACCGTAATGTTTTTATTTGACAGGAATTGCCATATCCCAGAAATTATGTGTAACATGGAGTATTGTCATGATGGAGGATGATTTATGGCACACTTTAAACCACACCTTCTCTCAACCATAGCTCACACCCAACTGACTGCATCAAACAAGTTGGAACTTGTCACACGCTGTTACTAAGGTTCAACGCACCGCTTCCCGGATTGAAGATCCCTAACTTTCCATTGGGTGGCACTCGGCAGCTGCATTCACCACATTTTGTGATCACAACAGAAAGGCTACCATGTCACACATCACTTCTGGTATATGGCAATTTCTGTCAAATAAAAACATTACAGTGTGTCCTCATCCACCTTATTCACCCGATCTGGCACCATGCGACTTGTGGCTCTTCCCCAAAGTCAAAATGACCATGAAAGGTAAACATTTTGAATCGATTCAGGACATCGAGGCAGCCACGACAGTACAACTCACAAAAGAGACCTTCCAGAACTGCTTCAGAAAGTGGCAAGAATGATAGGATGAGTGTGTTTGAAGTGAGGGGAAGTATTCTGAGGGGGATTAATTGCAATGTGTCTTTTATTGTCATAATTTTTTTTATTTAAACGTTCACCATATTGTTTGATCACACCTGGTATTAGGCGCTTGTAGCAGTCAAGTTCATAGAGACAGAAAGTAGAATGGTGGATGCCAGGGGCTGAGGGAGGAGGGTGGGGAGTTAGTTTTTAAGGGATATAGAGTTTCAGTTTTACAAGAGGACAAGTTCTGGAGATGGATGTTGGTGATGGTTGCAGAATAATATGAATGTGCTTAATACCACTGAACTCTACACTCGAAATGGTTAAGATGTTCAATTTTATGTATATTTTATTACAGAAAAAAAAATTGGAAAAACCACATAAACTTGACACTAACATTGAGCACTAGGCTAGGATAGAAAGTTGGTTGGGTTGCTTGTAGGTGGCAGGGTTGTAACCAGAGCCAGCACCTCCCAGATTCTCTCTCTGCACCTCACTCCTCATCTGGGCAGAATTTGCTCATGGTCACAGTGGGTACCCCCTCCATTACTTTATGCTGACAAATTTCTTTGCAGGAGACTCACTTAGACCCCACTCGGTGGAGGAGCTTGCCAAGTTTAGTGGGCAGGGGTCTCAAGGTGTTGCCATCATTCTTGATTCTTGCACATGTTGGCCAGAGTCCCCTTCCTCCCTGGCAATACTTTTGCCCTTGGCTGTCAGTCACTCTCTGCTGAGGTATAAGCTACTGCAATGTTGTAACTTAACAGATGGTAACTTACAGAAGATACAGAAACCGCCTAGAATGAACAAACACAGCACTGGTGATAGACTGCTAAGTGGTGGGCTGGGCACATTCTGTACCTGTAAGTCACACCATTGGGCCACCCTCTCAGCTTTCAGAGACAGAACCATGCCCATTTCTGCACTTGGAGAAATCGGGCTGGTCTGTGTCATCGGATAAACCAGCTCTTGTCTGAAGCACCTATGCCAGCTGCTGTGGGAGAGTGAAGGCAGCTCTCCTGCTGAGGACGCCTGGGACCCAGGTTGTCTGGGTGGCCTTGGAAATGAGTGATAGGTTACCAGGGATCAGCCCAACCCTTAAACCTCCCAGCCATTATTCTACGACCCTCCCTGTTGAGAGTCAAGTGTAAAACATGTCCTCTCGTGGGAAGACGGGACATGCTAAAAGGAGAGAGTTGAAGTGTTAGTCGCATTCACTTTGTCTTGGGAATTAATGCTTGCTGTGTTTGCTCCTTGTCTTGTGAAGGTCTCTTTAATTTCCTCATCCCGGCCGCCGTCTCCAGACCAGCTCTCCTCCAGGCACTTGAGTGACACCCCCATCTTCTCCCGGACCTTGGACAGCAGTGTGGCACCGGTGGCTGATTTCAGTTATCCCCCAGAATTCTCCTCCTGCCTGGACAACTCTGCAGCTAAGCACAAGCTCTTAGTTAAGCCCCGCAACCAGCGGTCGAGCAAGATGAGGCGGCTGTCTTCGGTAATTGGGCTTCTTCCCCAGCGCCACCCCCCCCCGCCTCTCTCCCCTCAGGGTCAGGTGCCCCCTCTGAGCGACCTCCATGGCCCCACTGACCCACTGCAAGAAGTGGCATTGTTTGTCTTTTCAACATAAATCAGACACATCTCTCCCCTACGTAAACACTCCATACATTCATTCACTCATTCATTCATTCTGCATATTTACCAAGAACCTGCTCTGTGCTGTGGGTCCATGGCCTACCCACTGCGTTCAGTGTAAAGTCCACACTCCAGGCCCTGCCTGCCTCTCAGACTCCCTCTCACTCCCTCACTCAACACACTTGGACCTCCTTCTGGCTCCTTGAGCTCTTCAGGTTGCCTTTGACCTCAGGCCTTGTACCTGCTGTAGATGCTCTTCTCCTGGCTACTCCTTCTCAGCCTTGTGGTCTCAGCTCAGAGGTCCTACAGAGGCTCACCTGACCCACCTTCCCACCACCGTGTTCACTTCCTTCCTCGCACTGGCCCCACACAGAAGGGACCTTTGGAAATGCGTATGCTCACTTGTTTCCTGCCAGTCTGTGCTGGGACCTTGTCCCAGCTACGCTTCCAGCACTTGGAGCAAGGCTGGTCACAGAGCTGACATTCAGTACACATTTGTTGAATGCATGAATGAATGAACAAACAAACGAATGAGTGAGTGACAGAGGAAGAAACTGAACCAGTAGAACAAATACCTGCCTTGGGCGAGGACCTGTTTTAATGGCATAGGGATCGTGGGATTGTGCTCCTATAAGGACACACCCCTCTTTGGGTGTGCTGCCTGGGGCAGTCATTAGCTCACAGTTCATGGAAATTGCTGGTTGAGGACTTAGACCTCATGATAACCCTGGGGTTAGAGGTCTACATGGGGTTGGTGCTTTCTCCCCTGCCTGGTGGTGCCCACAGGGGAGTGCTTAGAAGCAGCGTGTGGGCCAGCCTGGCCACAGAGCATGATGGTGCTGAGAAGGAGTGCTCACAGACCAACCTTCTCTCTCTCCTTCCCTCAAGCCAAGGTTGTGGGTGTTGATGAAGTACCCAGGACAAGCTAGGTTCTTCAGCTGGTGACAGTGGCCTTTCAGGATTTTAGTTCTGAGCGAGTGGAAGGTGCTTTGGAAACTCATGCCAGAAAGCTTGACATGAGTTCTAAAAGATCGACTTTTGGGGGGGACTGATGCTAGAGAAAGAAGCAAGCTGTGGTTACCTTTAGGTAACGTGCCTCATGCAGCTGGGGACAAAGGGACGTATGCACATGCTTACATATCCAGTGCCTTGGCAGTTAAAGGTTCTGAGCTGTGGGGACTTGGCACAGCCCTGTACCTCTGACCTACCTGTTCCCCTGCTGAGTGGAGCCACAGGGCAGAGACAAAGCCAGCTTCCTCTGGCCTTCAAGTCTGGGCTTTATTCTCACAGGAGTGTCTTTTGTCCTGGCAAGGGTATATGTAACCAGCCGCTGCCAGGACAGGACTTGGTGACCTAGGGAAGCCTGGCCGCTCCCCAAGGGGGAAGTACAGCAACCTTTCCCGAGGCTCCCAGAGCAGAACTGTGCACCTCCTTCCCCGCTTTTGGGCTTGACTTAGCCTTTGAGCTATGTTTTTTAGAATAACAGAAAATCTGGTTTCGTCAGTCTGGGTAAACACAGTCTTTCCTTGATTTAAACTGCCATTGTCATATCTTCCCCTCCTCCTTTCCCTTCCCTTCTTGGTAGGGAGCAGGATGGATATATAAAGTTTGTGGCGGTATCTCTGTTTTCCTGACTGGACAGAAATATCTGGCCAGTGGTCACCAGGGTCACTGTTGAGTCCTAAGCTGGAGGCCTCTGCCCATCAGTGTCCACTGCCCCTTTTGTCCTTTGGTCATGAGGTCCCTCCTTCCAACCATGAGGACCTTCCTGGTGCCCTGGCCCCTCTCGGGACCAAGGTGCTCTCAGATGTTTCTGTCCTGCTCTACGGGTGGGGAAGAACCACCACGCTGTCCCTCTGCTGCCCTCCCAGCCCTCCCAATCCTAGGACTTCTGTGGGGGTTCACTGCCCCTTTGGACAATGAGGTCCATGTGTCCCCTGCTTTTCTGATCCCTCACAGTCTCTGGGGTTTCTTTCTTCATCACCCACTCTCTCACCTCTTGCCCCCAGGCTCAGACACCTCCAGAGTCCCCACTTTAGTCTCTTTCTCTTGCTGCCCAAGTTCCTTCCTCCATTTGGGCAGAACAGCTGCCCGTGCCCAGCCAGGCATCTCCAGCTCTGTCATCAGTGGGGTAAAGTCTCACCCACGTCATCTAGGCCCTGAATCTTTTTGGAGCTCTAGAAGGAAAAAAATGGGGGGTGCTTTCCTTACCTTAAGAACCTAATCTTGGGTAGTTAAACAACAACAACAGAAAAAACACCTTGGCTATAAAGACTGTAGTATTTATCATGAATTTGAAAAACACATTCAAGTGTGTGTTTGGCTGAATCTGTGTGCCCCCACCAAAGCAGGGGTCGGGGAAGACAAACGCTGGTTGTCGCCTCAGCATTTTATCCAGCTGCACAGAACCGTGCCCTGTGTATGGCTCCAGTGCTAGAAGTGGGACGCTCATAAATGTTGACACTAACATCTCCCCATACCAGCTGGTCCTCATCCCAACCCAGGAAGTGCCGGGAGCAGCGAATATTATTAAATCTGGGCAGCACAATTAAATGGCTTGCCGCATGGCTGGCAGAGCTGCCAGCTGCCAGCCCCGAGTCCCAGGTGGAAACTGGCACCTCCCCTCACTACTAGTCGGCAGTGTCCTCTGCCCAGAGATTATGTGGACTTCCCAAGACTGTTTCTGGTGAGAAACGGGGGATGAGCCACGATAGTCTTCATCCCAGAGCAGGCTGGGCACTGGGTCCTCCCCTTCCGCTTCCTCTGGGAGGGGTCCAGGACGCCAAGCTGCTGTGAGGGCCCAGAGGAGGAGTGGAGGGGAGGTGGAAATGGAGTGGGCATATGCATCCTTCCTGCTGTGCCCGGCCAGGAGCCCAAGCTGAGTCAGAAGCCTCTCTGTTCCCTCCAAAGCCTCTGCTCAGCAGCCATCTTCTGGTGTCCGTGCCCCACGCCAGCCTTCGTCCAGCCCGGCCCTTCCCTGGAACCTCCCTGGAGTTGTGAGTGGCTCAGGTCGGGGTGTGTCTGGTCCTGAGCTCTGTGCTGACTTTAGTGTGGGTTCCAAGCATTTTAAAATGTGATCCACATTCCAAAGAGGTTTCAACATCAATGATTTTCTATAACAGCCAAAAGCCAGTAACACCTTTTGTACCTGCAGCTTTTGAAAATGCTTCCGTTGGATTTCCGTGTACATCTTCCTCCTTTCATATCACGAGGAATAGGATTGTGCATCTTGGTGAGAGCTTAGGTATTGTTCAGACACCCCAGTTACCCTGTGTTCTGTGAGCTAGGAGATGCCGGCTGGAAAATGTTAAAATGACATCAAGAAACAACGAAAACCTACTGCAAACATTCCCCAAGTGTTTCCTAAAAGCGGAGAGGAGACAGCTGCGCTTATGCAAGAGCCTGGGTAACTCTCCAGGTCTAATGTCATGAACTTTTCACAAAAATCAGTCTCAACACCCTCATACTTTAGGTCCTTTTCACATATTGCTTTTGAATGAGGCCGTGGTTACCTTGATCTCCTTTTCTGCCTAAGAGAACAAGCAGTGACTCTGTGTATGGGAAGGAGGACGTCACTAAGTCTAAATCCCAGAGGCATGTCAGAAGGCAGTGTAGCATTTACTGTCAGGGCTTCAGTAGACAAGGGAGAAGAGGCAAGTAAGCCTTGGGGAAGAGGCAAGGCTTCCTGTCAGCAGTGGACTTTGAGGCAGTCTTGGGGGTGTGGGTAGAGCACTCTGGAGGTGTGAAGGGAGCCCCTCAGACCTGGAGTCTGGCACATACAGTAGTTGGGACTTGGCTGGACCTGAATAGGGACTGAGAGAAACAATTTCACAGCGAGAATGGAAGACTTTAAATTTAGCTAAGCAGTTTGGACTTAATCCTGTAAGCTCTACTTTGCTACTGTTCCTGTTTGACGTGATATGACTCATCTTTTGAGTAAACCAGTCTGCCCTGGCAATGAGGGTGCAAACCTAGGGAGGGAGCATTGAGGTGGGAGGCTGGCTCTGAGGCAGCCCAGGGTCACGGAGCACCAGCTTTCCACAGAGCCAGTAAAAGCCTTGACCAAAGGCTGGACCTGTCTGAGCTCCCAGTTCTCCAGCTGCAGAGAGGGAATAATAGTCATTTCCTCACTGGGACGAATCGAGGAGTAAGAGGAAATGAAGTAACAAGTGTAGAGCACAAAGCGTGGCAGAGCCCCACCTGGCATGGGTGCCCTTCCCTTTGCTTTGCTCTGTAGAGCAGCGTCGACTGGTTTCTTGACTCACCCACAAGAGCCATAGGCAACATTTATTTCGAGAGCATAGCTGCTAGTGTCCTGCTAAGAGCTGAGCTTGTGAGACAAGAATCCAAACAGACCATTAAAGGAGGGACTAGGAAAAGACGCCTGTGTGTGAATATCCACTCCAGTGCCCACTTCTGGGACATTCTGCTGCCTTTAACCATATGAACAAAACAGGAAGGTCGCAAGTTTCCTGATATTCTATGTAAAAATGCTGTCTTTTGTCCTCTGCATCTCTCGTAGCGGGCACAGTCCGAATGCCTGAGCGACCTGATCTGCACCCCAGAGGAGGAGGAATATGATGAGAAGCCATCACCCACAGTCATCTCAGAAGACAAGCCCACTACTGGACAGCAAGACATGGTCCAGGACAGAGGCCCTGAGCCCGGGAAACCAGCCACCATGCTGCCACCTGGGGGGCCCCGTGCAAGACGGGCACGCCTACAGCACTGCCCGGCGCTCAGTGCCAGTGCAGAGGAGGAGAGCGCCCCAGGGGACAATCCCTCGAGCCGCCCGACCACCCCCGAGGTCACAGAGCCTGTGTCAAGCCCAGCCCCCTGCTTAGAGTCCCCACTTTTGCCAGAAGACTCCCTGCACCCTGACCCCGACAGCGAAAACCAGAGGGAGGAGCTGTCCTTCGCAAGCGCATGTCCCCCAGCCGGGGACACAGCTGATGAGGTAGCTTGTGCTTCTGGAGATGCTGAGAGTCGGTTATCTCCCCACATCCCTGGGGAAGACATGACACCACCTGCGACCGGCCCTGCCACCACCGTGGAGACCCCCTCTGGTCCAGAGGGGCCAGACCACAATGTGCAGAAGGAGGTGGAGCTGACACTGGCAGTGCCTAGTCTCGAGGGAGCAGGGACAGAATGTTCCGAGACCCCTGCCCCAAACCTCCCAGTCCCCAAGAGCTGCTTGAAGCACAAGGCCCTGGTGGCCAGCAGGAGCCTCAACGTGTCCCTCGCTTTGTCCACCTCGGAGTCACCTCCAGAGGAGCCCACCCCCTGTGCCCTGGACAAGGATGCCAGCCCCCTGGAGCCTTCCAGGGCTGAACTGGCTGGGTCCCCACAAGAGGGACCCGAGAGGGTGGCACGGGAGCAGAAAATCGCAAGAGGCGGTGGTGAGCCTCGGAGTGTGAAGAAGTTCTCCGTGTCCTCGGGCCGGGCGTGGCCACGCACAGGCCACAGAGACCGGCTGGGACACTCTGGCCTTGTGGGCCCTGCTGCTGTCCCCTCCGCTGTCCGGCTTCCCCTGCTGAGGAGCGGCCAAGCCTGGCAGAGCGAGGCTGCCCTCGATGACCTCCAGGTACCTCCTGTGCCCCAGAACCGAAAACTGGACCCTCAGGAGCCACCCTCACCAGCTGAATGTGGCTCTCAGGACCTGGGGGACAGGGTAGCCAGTCAGGCTGGGCCGGGCAGGAGCCCCCAGGATGCAGTGAATACGCCAGCCACAAGTGACCCCTGCCCCGCTGCCCAGGAGCCACCCACCGGTGGGGACAGAAGCTCCTTCCCTGTGAAGCTTCGGTCCACATCTCTCTCTTTCAAACACAGAGATGTGTCCTCTCCAGAAGTGAAAGGAATCAAGAGGTACAGTGCTGAGGTCAGGCTAGAAAAGGGAGGACTGACACTGCTTTCAAAAGAGGACAAGTGTCCCATGCGGACCGCCCCCGCTACTCGGGGGGCCAGGTCCCCAAACGACCAGGGGAAGGGGAAGGTCCGGTCATCGGAGCAGCTCGGCTCCAAGCCACCCCTGCCCAGGAAGCCACTTCTGCAGGCCCTCACCCTCCCGTACCCGCCAGCATCCCCTGATGTCAGCCCCGGAGAGCTGGACAAGGCCACGCTGCCCCCGGGCCCCAGAAAGGAGAGTCGGATGGCAGAGAAAAGGTCGCCCCACCAAGGAGCTGGTAAGAGCGTGTTTGGGAAGAGATGGGATGATGGGGAACCACATTAGTGGCACTAGATGCTGGATGGCCACCAAGTATATAAATATTTTGGGTAAAAATCTTATTGCAGGGGAATTGGAAGAAAACGTCAAAATTCCTTGTGGTGCCACTGACATGTTTGATTAGGGATGGAGAGTAGAGAAGGGCAGACAAATACCAGTTTGTTGTAAGTTCAGAGGCATCAGGAAGTCGTCCACACTCTTTTTGCAGCGTATTATTCCCTGAAAGGCCCCTCAGTGGGCCCCTCACACGCCGCTGCACCGTTTACCTCTGGAGCTCGTCGAGGCCCAGAACCCAGGACATGTGCTCTGTCAGGGCCTTCGCTGTTCTTGGTTATAAATGAGGCATCGGGCTCTTCTTGTCACTTAGTATCCTCTGACCTTTCCCCCCAAGGAAGTGTTTCCTTCCGTTTTATAATCAGGCTCATGGGCCCCAGCGAAGCACCCCATATATGGGAGTCACAGCCTTTGTCGAATGTGAACCCGTTGGAGGGTGGGTGTTAGCTGCCTGTCCCAAAAGGGAGCCGGTGTTAAGATTGGGGCAGAGTGCGAGAATCTTCTAAAGCAACTGTCTTCTAAAATGAGCAGAGACAAAACCGATGACTCTTCTATGTCGTAGACATTTGTCACTTTTTATTGATAGTGTTTCCGACGAAATGAGCAGCCTGTTGGAAACTGGTCTTTGCAGTGGAGCTAGCGAGCCTTTCACTGGCGGTTTCTATCACTGATGGAAAGCAGAGGGCCAGAAAGGGAAGCTGCCCAAACAAGTCGGGGGCATGGGCCACGAGGGCCCTGGGGAGCAGTGTTCCTTGGCCAATTTTATTTAACAACAAAAACCTTTCACAGTATTTTAAGTGACTACTGTGAGTGCAGGACTCCACTAAGCACTGCTTTGTGGGACAAAAAGGAACTAGAACCCAGTTGTTCTCTTAGGGACACCCCCACTTCCACCCTAAAAGCAAGATGAAAGGCACACACAGGAAGGAGTCACATGAAGCAATGTGAAGACAGATTTGAAGGAGTTCTAGTCTTTTCTGTCTCCCATCTAGGAAGCAAGTAAAAGTGCAGTGTACAACGTGTTTTAACTTCCTAAGGTGACACCCACAGATGCAGGTGGTTCCAGGCAGAAGTGCCGGGAAAATGCCCCCAAAGCACATGTGCGGCCTTCCTGACCTGGGGCCTGGCTCGGCCCTGATTTTGTGCTAGTGCTGCCACTACTTTAGGACAATCAGTGAGGGAGCTCTGGGGGAGCTTCAAGCTGTTCCTGAGGATCCCGTCTGCCAATTTGCCGCCAGGTCATTGAATCCACTGCAGAGTGATTCAAAAAGCCTCTGGTTGAAGTAGCGAGGACGGATAGGGAGGCGGGGTCTTGCCCTGTGCAGGTAAAACCCTGATGTCAGCACCAGCGCCGATCACCTTCATGACCTGGAATTGAACATGTCCCTGAAGGGCTTGCGGGATGAATGGAACGTAAACACAGGACCCTCAGGTTCACGGTGAGAGCTGGGACAGAAGCTTCAGAGAGCAGTGCTTGGTGCATCAATAATTCATAATCTCCCCGAGTTAGGCTTCGTTTATTTCCAGATGCCTGGAAAGGTCTCTAAAGACCTGATGTTTTTTTTTCTTTGATTCATAAAATACAATATAGTCTTTATATATTAATGGCTATACTTAAATAGAAGATTGTCTTGTCCATCTATGTTTATTAACATCGTCTAAGCCACAGAAATAACCAATTCAGATGAATTCCAGAGTGAAAGAATCTAGGTTACTTTATGGGGCACGGGGAGTGATTTTCATTTCAGTGCAAAGAGACAAGGGAAGAATTACCCACATTCTGTTGGGAACCTCCCCTCCCAATGGGAGTTACTATTGGAGGGACAAGTGCCAGGACAGGCTGTGGCTGCTGTGTGGTCCCACCCAGGACCTTGGGGCTGCCTCTGGATCTCAGGGTCTGTGCTGCTGGACCCCCCCAGGGAAGGAGCCTTTCCCAGACTTTGGATCTGCTTGTGGCTGAATTCATTGCTTCTGCTATCACCCTTGTTGCTCCCAAGTTATAGCAACTAAAGAGAATTCAATGCATACAAAACATACAGATCATAAAAGTTTTAATAACAGTATGACTTACTTTTCCAGAAAGGCCTAATTATTGCTGTGAATTATCTTGCGGTGGCAAGCACTTTGCCCAGAGCTCCCAGATAGGCTGCCATCTCCCCTGTCTCCCTCCCTGCCAGGGGTACAAATCATAAAATCAGGTTATGGAGGTGTCGCACATGGGCGTGGGGTTCTGCCTTAAGGACTCGAGCTGCTTTATTTCCAGATGTCCTACTTAACCCCTGTCCTGTCCCCCACTCCCTTTCTTCCTTCCTTGAAGACACGGAAAAACCATTCCGTGGGGGAAGCAGGAAGGACTAGATGGTGGTTGCAGTCAGCAGAGGAGTCCGGCTGGCCAAGTGGGCTGGGCCTCCCAGGACCTCCTTGGGGTGGTTACTGCAAGCCCAGTGCGCTGTTTGTGCTTGTCTACCCCAGGACACCTGGCACTCTGCTGATATGCTATTTCAGGTGAACGGCCTGGGGTTCTCAGACTTGTTCATGGGTGCAGGATATTACCCACCCTCCTGTTGGGCCAGCCCAGCCAGAGCCTAAATTACAGTTTCCTGTGCACAGGATTAGAATTTGAACAAAGCAGCTGGAGATTCTCATGTAAAAAAATGGTAAAATACAGAAAGGATATAGAAAAAAGCAATCACCTACAAGCCCACTCTATAGATGTTATCTCTGTTGGCCTTTCCATCTAGTCTTTCTTTTCTCTGTGTGAGTGTGTGTCATTTATTTTCTACATAGTTATGGTCACATGTTGGATATTTTGGACAATAGCTGTACAAATTGCCATCCTCACCTGGGGCCTCATTTGATAACCAACCTCAGCCTCCAATCCAAGCTCAATCGCTCTAGACGGGACTGGTGACACAGTGACACACCCACATCTCGGACCCTCTTTTTCTCATTTCTCATTTCTCCATGCATTCTTCCAACGAATATTTCCGGTATTCCTGCCACACACACAGCATTGAGCTGGCCCCAGGAGGCAGTCAGGAAAGCAGGACAACCTCACCCTCAGGGGGCCTACCAGCCCCAGGAGGCATGTGGCAGCTGGATGTCACAGGGGAGTGTAGATAGATGCCCATTTTTGTCTGTGCATGACAGGGACAGTTTCTGGAGGAAATGAACTCAAAGACACTGTCACCTAATAACACAGTTATTTCATTGTTTTCAGGTTTATTTGAGAATACAAGGGGGATGTTTTTGGTATCACGCTAAAAATATATTCATATGTTTTGAATTCTTAAAACCAACTTTGTTCACATCTGCCTTTCTTTTCAGCCTTATCCTTTCCTTCACAGTCTTTTCCTGAGTGAGCGTGGTCAACACCCTGGCCTCCATACCCCACCTTCCCTCTGCTCCTGAAACCCCGCATCTCCCCAGCGCCCCTGCGCAGGACACGTCATGGATCCCCGCCTGTTACCTGACTTCCCTTGACGCCCTCGGCCACAGCAACTGGCCGCTACCCATCAGTGGGCAACCCTGACTTGACATCTCACCATTTATAATTCCATTGTCAATGTCTCGCCCACCCAGACCATTGTCCTTCTCAGTGCCCCCATCTAACCAGGCACAACAGCCAGAGACCTCAGCATTGTTAAAAATAGTGTAATATGGAAAATACCGAAAGGCCAAAAAATCGTAGGAAAAATCGCCTTGTAAACCTACTGCTTAAACAATGACATAAAAAGGGACTTGCAAGGCTAACCAACATGGAGTAAACACACTCCACCCTACAACTCCCACGGATACCATTTAAAACCCAGACCACATGCAGAGAGTGAATGTCAAATGTCAACAGACACTGAAAGGTAGACAAGGGCTGGAAGATGGGGCAGGGAGATCAGGGTGCTAGAGGTGACCGTACTTGTCCGCTTTATCTCTGTGCAGTCACACGATTGTTTCCCTAGGATTGATGCTTAACAGTGGGTTTTCTGGCTCACAGGGTATGTGGTTTTAATTTAATAGACAACTAACTTCAAGTGACCCTCCATAAAGTTAGGACTGGCTCACACTTCTTTGAGCAGGAGTGAGACTATTTTTCCACCTGCGTTTCAGCACCAGGTGTTGTCACTCTATTCATTATTTTTTTCAATCTGATGGATGAAAAATGTCAGTTATATTTCTCACCTTGGTCAGCGGGTCCTGGTCATCCTAATATGAAGCGTCTTTGTCCTCCTGCACCCTGCCCCTGTGCCAGCCCTCATCATCTTTAACCTGACGCCCACAGCCCCTGCTCCCCTAACTCTCTTGTCTCACCCTCGCCCCACAAAGCATGGGCATAACCGCAGAGCTTTCCTCTTTTAAAAACTCTCAGAGCCTTCTTGTTATATAGATAGAATAAAATTCAACCTCCAGGGCAAGGCATTTAAGGCTTTTTAGATTTGGGCCAAAGGCAACATGTCTGCCTTCCTGAGTTCATCTGTCACGCCTTCACTCCCTCTGACATCTCCAGCCCCACCTCTGCCACCAGCTCCCCTCAGAACCCTGCACAGAGAGTCCTCAGTGCTCACTCTGCCCACACTCCACCTTGCTCCTGAACTTGACCTTGAGCTCCCTGAGAACATCATGCCTGGAGGCTTCTACCCTGCAGTGGGTGGTCCTGGGCTGTGCTCACAAGACCAGGGACCAGAGAGTGAAACAAGCAGGGTGGGGAGCTGGGTGGTGGGATCAGAGAGCCTGCCTTCGGACATTTTACGCCGAGGTCCACCTCCCAGGGGCTGTGGGAGTCTGATCTGGTGTGTTTCTTAACCTGTGACTTTTAATTTCCTCCTTTGTAAAATGAGGTTACTAGTAATACTCAGGGCAACAAAAGCATTTTAACTACAAAATGTGATACAGTTTCATACACTATAGTCC